GCTCCAACACCATCTCCAACTCCAGCACCCCCAGAACCAGAAACCGGTACAGGAACAGGCGCAGCACCAACCTCTCGAGAGCTAGCACCAGCGGCACGCTGCGAGGAGGACTGTGGGGAGGGAGGCTGTACCGGAGGGGCTACCGAAGGAGGAGGGGTAGCCTGGGACACACCTGACGGGGCTGGACCAGGGGGGGGAGGCTGTACCGGGGGAGCAGGAGGGGGAACGGCAGTCAGGAAGAGGGGGGGAGGAGGAACCGGGAGACCTCGACTGGGGTACCTGACGTAGTACGGAGTGGACTCCTCGAAACGGACGTCACAGGAGTCAAAGAACCGGTGAGAGGGAGGGTGGTAAAAGGTGAAGTCAGAGGAGTCCTCAGGGAAACCAAGGAAGACACAGGGGACGGCACGAGGCGAGAGCTTGTCCGCGGAGGTGTCGCGGACAAGAGCCAAGCACCCCCAGACACGAAACCGCGACGCAACACCAGGGGACCCTGTCCAAAGACTGGTCGGTGAAACCTCTGGTCGAGAGACACGTGGCCAGAGGTTCAGCTGGTGCGCGGCGTACCTGACCGCGTAGGGCCACAGAAAATGGGGGGCACAGGCGTGAGTCAGGGAGGTGCGGGCGATCTCCATGACCAGGCCTATGCGGCGCTCAGCAACCTCATTCTGCTGTGGGGACTCTGGAAGCGTCCAGGACTGACAAATGCCCTGCTCGCGACAGAATCCAGCGAGAATGCCGGAGCGAAACTCACCCCCACGGTCGGAGTGGAGACAGCTGACACGACGACCACGAGTGTCCTCGGTGGTGAGCAACCACCTGATCAGCGTAGAAGTCACCTCAGACTTCTTCGCCAGTGGGAACACTGTGGTGTAGCGGGAGAAGTCGTCAACGACCACCAGAAAGTAACGCTCACGCTCAGGGCCTAGACGAGGGGCGGGGCCCCAGACGTCCAAGTGAAGCGTCTCAAAAGGCTCGGTGGCCGGACGAAGGGAGGAGGAGTGAGGGGTGGCGCGCAGCCTACCCTCGACGCAGGGACGACACGGCGGCGCAAGCGAAGGCGGCAGCGACGGCAAGACACGTGGGAGGCCTAGGACAAGATGCTGACTAGACATAGCGCGCAGACAAGGAAGGGACGGGTGCCCCATCCGGTGGTGCCACAGAACGGTGGGGTGGGCAAGCGACCGGCAGGAGCACGACGCAGCGACTGGAGCAGACGAAGGAACCTGACACGACACAGACACCTGGGGGGACGAAGCAACCTGGTGAGACACGGGGACCCGAACGGGGGGGGGAACCGGGGGCAGTGGCAGTAGGGGGGGCTGCTGGTGCGGCCGCTGGTGCTGCTGCTGCTGCTGCTGCGGCTGCGGCTGCTGCTGCTGCTGCGGCTGCTGCTGCGGCGCACGCGGGCCAGTGTGAAGAGTGTAGAGACCCGAGCCCGGCTCAGCAGTAAAGGTAGCAAGAGGCTGGTAAGAGTCTCCGTCAACACACACCGCAGTCTCTCCAGAAGGCTCAAACCACACACCCACGTGCTGACTCACGAGGGGTCGCACGCCCACCAAGTTCCGGGAGAACGAGGGGACGTGAAACCCAGTGAGAGACCCGGAGGGAGCAGCAGGACACGGTAAAGTGGTAGTGTGACGGGCAGTGACTGGTCCCGTAGTGGGATCACCCAACGCTACAGAAACAGGCGCAGGAAGTGGTGTAAGTGTCGTGCTGTCCCGGAAGAAGCAGTGGGAGGCTCCAGAGTCCAGTGTGAACGACAGCGAAGCGTCCCCTGAGGTAGTCGCTGGTCTAGAGTCTACACAAGTACCTACACTAGCAACAGGCAACTGAGCAAGACTAGCACCTAAGCTAACAACACCAGAGTAAACAGAGTCAGAAACACTAGAGTCAACAACAGGATACATAGCATGAGGAGCACTAATCAGATCAACTAACTGCTCAGCAGACATGCCCCACAGAGCGAAGCCGTAGCGCTGAACCAGAGGAAGCCAGTCAGGAGCAGGACCGCCAACCCCGTAGGTCAACCGGACCGTGTCAGTGAGCTGAGCAAAGCACTGACCAGGGGGGTGAAAGCGGCCACAAGGGTGGCCCCGACGAGGACCTGTCTGAACCTGGTAGGGGCAGGGAGGGTAAGCCGCACCGCGCTGGGGCTGACGCAGCCCCGACCCCGGAGCCAGCTGCTGACGCTGCTGCTGCTGAGGCTGCTGGGAGGAAAGGGGCTGCTGCTGCTGCTGAAGGTGCTGCTGACGCTGAGCCTGGTACCACGCCGCTGCTCCACCTAGCGGGGCCGGCAGTACAGGAGGCGACTGACGAGCTCGGGGGTCGCCGCCACCAGCAGGTGCAGTGGAGTCACCAGCCGCTGCACGAGGGGTCTCTCCAGACGCTGCACTCCCACCACCCCCAGTCGCAACAGCACCCCCACTACCTCCGCTACCTCCGCCTCCACCTCCACCAGAACCACCTTTCTTGCCCCCCCTGCCGCGGGACCGCGACGCAGTCGTAACAGCAGCCGCAGTCGCGTCAGTAGCGGCAGTGGCAAGAGAGGCAGTGAAGGTGGGTAACTGCGGGACTGTGCACCCGTGGAAGAGTGGGGGGGACACAGTACCAGAGGCGGCAGCTACCGAACGAAGGTTGCTCTCGACGTCCTTGAGTGCAGACTCAAGGACCTCGATAGTCAGCTCACTAGGTTGCTTCAGCAGAAGCGCGTCACGAACGGAGGCAAGGCGGTCAGGGAGGCTAGTGGCGATGAAATAGACAGTGATCGCCATGGGGGGAGGAAGCAGTGTAAGCTGTGCCTCAGTGCAAGCAGCGCGGTAACTAGCGTCGAGCGAGCGGAGGTGAGCGATCAAGTCAGCAGAGCGCTCAAACGAGGCAAGATCAGGAAACAGGAACGGGAGGAAAAGACGGCCAAGAGAGACAGTAGCGGGAGTAGAGTAGCGGGCCTTAATCGCAGTGAGGTACGCAGCAGCGGTGCGAACCTGAGTAAAGTGGACCTCCTCGGACTCAGGGAGGAGGCTGCTGAGTGCGATGCAGGCCGCAGCGTCACGCGACGTCCAAGCCGTCCGGTCAGCGCGCTGACGGGCAAAGCGAGCCGTAGCAGCGTCGTCAGGAGCAGGGCCTAAAGCTGTAGGCTCGGGGGGCTCAGGGAGGTCACCAGTAGCGTGTGACCAGAGGGTCTCGCCCCCCTGGACCTGACTCTCTAACAGACGGCGAGCGCGAAGAAGCCAGACGGAAAAGTCAAGGGGTCTACCGTCAGCGTAGAAACGAAGAACTCGCGGAGTCGCCATAGTGAGGACTAAAGCGAACGAACAGGCGAGTAACAACCGGGGGGGAAGAGGACTCAGTCGCAGCGGAAGAGCGGGCTAGAGCGACGGGCCAGTACGTAGGGTAGGGCAACGGGCCAGGGCCTAGGGTAGGTCGACGGGCCAGGGCCTAGGGTAGGGCGACGGGCCAGGGCCTAGGGTAGGGCGACGGGCCAGGACTTAGGGAGGGCGACGGGCCAGGGCCTAGGGTAGGGCGACGGGCCAGGGCTTAGGGCAGGGCGACGGGCCAGGGCGTAGGGCAGGGCGACGCGACGGGGGAAAGGGCGCGAGCGACGCGACGGGGCAGGGCGACGCGACGGGACAGGGCGACGCGACGGGGCAGGGCGACGGGACGGGGCAGGGCGACGCGACGGGGTAGGGCGACGCGACGGGACAGGGCGACGAGACGGGACAGGGTGACGGGACGGGGTAGGGCGACGCGATGGGACAGGGCGACGGGACGGGGGGGGAACAGGCGGGCACGACGCGACGGGGGGAACGCGTGCGACGCGACGGGGGGAACGGGCGCGACGCGACGGGGGGAAAGGGCGTGACGGGGGGGGGGAAAGGGCGCGACGCGACGGGGGGGGGGGGGGGGGGGCGCTAGGCGACGGGGAGAAAGGGCGCTAAGCGACGGGGGAAAGGGCGCTAGGCTCGGTAACAACGGAACTGGTACGAACGAGAGGTAGGATCAGGCTCGGGAGGTACGAACGGAGAACGGAGGAACGGGATCCCACAGGATCCTAACCTAGCTGATACCATGTCAGAATGAGGAATGGTCTGTCCATTGATGTTGGTTGGGGTACATATGACAAACCCTAACTTCTGTACCCCCTAAGACAAACCTCACTACAGGCTACAACATTTGACATATAAGCCTCCGTAGATTTCTGCGAGGGTACGGTATACACTACCTATGCCCTCTAGCTCCGGTTACGACCGACGGTGTTTTGCGTTGTACGTTGTATAATGCATTTTCACCTAAAAAAATGATGATCACATCCAGACTATACTAATTGTGACAATCGATATATTACATATGTTATTATTTATCAGGGATAATCAATGTAACGAAGATATATTCCAGATACCGATATTTTGATTATTTTAAGAATCTGAATTGATGGGCTGATATTCTTACACTTTCCATCATATGTAAATGACCTGGGGAGCTAAATATGTTTTTTTTTCAGCTTATACATCACAATATGTGAAGATTTCCTTCACATACACTACCCACGTGCTCTCTTATCTGTTCTGGCGAGCCGACACAATCGATGCGGGTGGTCCCTCAAGATTGTACCTCGCAGGGTGCCCTCACTGCCTAGCTGAAATCTGGAAATCTGAAAAGAATCACCTTGCTCAGGGCGGGTAGAGTTACGGTACTAGGAGGACCATCCATGGCTGGATCGTACTGAGGGGTCGCGCCGCCTAGTAGCTACGTAAGTTTTTAAAGGAGCATGCCGTTCCTCCCGCTGCTGAAATTCGATCGGAATCTCCGGTTCCCACTATACTGGGCGTCGATTTTGCCCTAGATTGCGGCCAGTCCCATCAATATCCTCGCTAGCCCAAGTAGGGCGTAGTGTTTCGTCGATTAGCCACCTGCAGCGGCGGAGACGGCGACGACGCCGGCGACTTTGATAGCCGCCAAAAAAATACCTCTTTCGCGTCTTAATATTTACCGCACCTGCCATGGATCAGGTCATATTTCAAGCCATTCGCGGCGACATAATATCTAACGACGTCAGCCGGCAGACGTCCGCCATCCTAGTCGCCTTGCAGTTAGCAGCCGGCGGTAAGGACGTATCGTGTCTCGCGTCGCTTCTCTGCACGGAGTTAATCGCCGGCAGCGCAAACGCCGTTAGTAAGCAGCTCGCGTACGATGCTCTCCGCACCGCGGGCCACTTAACGGACGACGACTGGGACGTGGTGTGCCGGGGCATGCACAATGATTTCAGCTGCCCGGATCCTGACGTCACCGCTGCCGCGCTGCGCTTCGTCGTCGCGCTTCCGGGCTGGCGGGTCGGGAAGTTCCTAGATGATCACTCTAAGGAGCTCTCTAACTGCATCGTCCACGACCACGTGGGATTAAGACAAGCCGCGATGGACTCCCTCGGAACGCTTCTCCTACGCGACGACGTAATTAATCTCTGTGCGCAGTCCGTTTCCCTCCTAGACCGCGTCTCGCTCTGGTGGCGCCAGATCGGCCTTTCGATGTTAGACCCTTCCGATATAGTCGCAGCCGCAGCTTTCGACGCCGTGGGCCGTCTATTTTCAGAATTCGCCACGAAAAAAATGAGCAGAATCGCGGCGCAACGGCTCGTTCCGACGGAATCTTCCGCCGCGGTGCGCGCGCAGCTGGTGGTTGCGCTGACCGGGCTAGTCTGGGGGAAGCGGGACATGCTAATCGCGCGTGCGGGGTTACTCACTCCAGAAGCGTTCCGCTCGTCGATCTATCCGCTTGCCTACGCCGCGCGGGCGTTTGCGACGGGGCTGGTAGATGATCTGAGAATGATGTTGAATCCTAAGGAAGAAGGCGCGAGGAGGAGACGAAGCAGCGCCGTTTCCGTGGGTGCTACCGGTGATGGTGGCACCGGTTTAGGTGGATTCGGGGATGATTTGCTAGGCCTGGGGGATTTCGGCGGTGTTGGCGGGGGGAGAGGAGGAGAGGGCGAAAGTAGTGGGTTGGGCGGGATTGGCGGGCTTGCTCTGGGAGATTCTGTTGCCGATAGTGGCTCTGGCAAAGAAAAAGGGGACGGGAAGGACGCAAAGAGAATGGGCAAGGACAAGAAAGCATCGTCAGCAGGAGGAGGAGGAGGAGGAGGATCAAAGAGAGACAGCAGGAATGGAAAGGGCAAGGAGGAGGCCAGCAGCAGCAGCAGCAGCAGCAGCAGCAGCAGCAGCAGCAAGGTGGGATCACGTCGCTCCTCCTCGTCCTCCACTGCACTCGCTACGACGGTGTCGTCAGAAACAGCCGCAGCAGCCGCAGAGGAGCGGAAAGACCTGGTGAACACAGAGCGCATGCTCGGCGTGGCAGATATAGTCACGCACCTCTCACCGTACCTCGCCTCTCTAGACCCATCCATAGTCTTCGAAGTGGGCTTGCAGATTCTCGCTCTCGCGGCCGTGCCTGGGGGGAAACCGGAGTGGGCGACCGGGCCTGTGACTGCGTTCCTCTCGTTGTGGGATCGGCAGGAGTACTCAGCGGGACGAGAGGCGATAGTTAAAGCCGTGGTGTCGAACCTCCCTCTCCTGGACATACACACGCAGGCGGCACTCTTCAAACGGCTGTTGCTGATGGTCCGAGGGTTGAGAGCCGAAGCGGATCGTATGGTTGCCCTAGCGAGCATCTGCCGCGCTGCTCTCTGCGTGGATCTTTTCTCAAAGGAATCGGCGCGCAGGGGCCAGAGACCCGTCGCAGGCACGGACGTCTCTTCCCTCTTTGACGACCCGCAGATTAAAGACGAACTGGCGCTGCCAGTAGTGCCGAACGTTGATAGTGGGCTGTTTAGAGAGGAGCTTCTGGCGTGTTTGGTAGAGAGTGCGTTTCAGCTGGCGAGTGGGAGCGGGGGCGGGGGAGTAGGCGGAGGAGCAGGCGGGGCAGGCGCAGGCGGGGGAGGGTTCGGCGCAGGGGGAGCGGGGGGCGCGGGAGGCATGGGGAGCGGGTTAGCAGGAGGGTTCGGCGGGGGAGGTATAGAAGGCTACGGCGCGGAGTCAGGAGCTGGGTTCTCCTTTGCTGCTGCCGCGGCAGGCAGAGGGGGGTCCCTAGCAGCAGTGGTATCCGGGGAGGCTTCATCTGGAGGGTGGGAGGCGTGGGGGCAGACGGCACTAGAGGTGGTGGAGGTGTGTAGGGCGTGCGTGCGGTGGCAGTGTGGCGGGCGGACGTATGCTGTGGACTGTTACCTTCGGCTGCTGGTGCGGCTGTGCCAAGTGTATAACACTGCGAGCGGGGTGAAGAGTGCCAAGGATGGGGCTACTCCGGAGCAGATTCGGGCGGAGCAGCGACTGTACACGCTGCAGAGACAGCTACTGGAAGACGCAAAAGAGGTGGGTTGGGATGGGGTTGAGAGCGGTCGAGAGCTTCCTCCCCATCTCCCGCCAATCCCCGTGCATCACAGCTCTCCTCTTCCACCCTGCGACTGCGTCTCCTCTGGTTTGGCATGCAACACCTGTATTTCTCAGGCCCGGTTGGCTTTTCAAAATAGTTTGTTTTTGAAAAAAAATCAAAAACCAACTTGGAACACCTGTAATACTCAGGCCCTGGACCCCCTCTCTCCTCCCCTCTCTTCACTAAACCTTCCACTGCCCCACTCTCCCCCGCCCTATTCCCCCACCCCGTTACACTCCAGCTCTCCTCCTCCACCCTGCGCGTGCGGCTCCTGTGGGTGCTAGCGGAGCAAAAGTCCTTCGCAGGCCCGGAGCCTCTCTCTCCTCCCCTTCCTTCACTCAACCTTCCCACTTCCCTTCCTCTTCCCAACCCTCTTCAATCACACCGCAGCTCTCCTCCTCCACCCTGCGCGTGCGGCTCCTATGGGTGCTAGCGGAGCACATGTCCTTCTCAGGCCCAGAGCCTCTCTTCCCAGACGACCCAAAAGACCCAGTCACCATCCTCACCTCCCTCTTCCACCGCATCCTCTTTTCTCCCGACGACGCCACCGGAACCATGCTCGCGGACGTGGTTGCTGGGGACGGGGGAGGCGGAGGAGGGGGAGGAGGGGGTGCGGCAGCGGTGGCGATGAGTGGGAACCGGTTGCAGGAGGTGCAGGCGATTCTGGTGTGCGCGCTGCATCTGGGCGCGAGGAGCTTCAGGGCAGCAGCGCTGGTGTGTCGGGAGGTGGAGGAGTTGCAGTCGGCGCCAGGGCTCGTGGATAGTGCCACTCGCCACCGCTGCCGCAGCATCCTGCAGTCTCTGGCTTATGTGCACCACTTCCCCGACCGCACGTGAGTGGTGCTGCTGGGGGGCGAGAGGAAAGTGTGAGGGTGTTGGGCGAAGGGGGGTTTTGAGGTGTTTGGGAGAAGGGTTGTCTCAGTATTATGCAGTCCCTGGCTTATGTGCACCATATCCTGGGGGGATATGTGGAGTGTGAGTACGTCTGGTGTGTTTTTGAGGCGCCTCAGAGATGGATTGGGAGGATGGGTTGGCTTGGGGTGTGTGGGTATGCGACACAGCTTCGTATATGGTGCACCACGTATGTGGTTCAGTGCACACATCTGGTGGGACCTGCTTTCTACTCCTTTCCTTTCCATGTCAATACCTCCTTCCGCACCCTCTCTCTCCTCTCTCATTCCCCCTCTCCACGCTCACTCCCCCCTCCCACTCCCCCCCCCTCGCTCTCTTCCACTCACCCTCTATCTCTCCCGCCACCTCTTCTCCCCACCCCTCATCCACAGGTGGGCAGTGCGCATGGGAGCAACGGGCGAGTACCCCTTCTCCCACCATCGCCTATCCGTCCTCTACAACAGAGCAGCAGCGCAGGACCGGAAGCTCGAGTCCCTTGTCTCAGACCTCTCCCTTTCGCCCCTCTGCCGTTTCTCCGCGCTCCCTTTTCTCCTGTCACTCCCTCTCTCCCTCCCCTTCCCTGCTCCCCGTTCCCCCCTCCACAGGTGGGCAGTGCGCATGGGAGCAACGGGCGAGTACCCCTTCTCGCACCACCGCCTCTCAGTCCTCTACAACAGCGCAGCCGCAGCGCAGGACCGGAAGCTCGAGTCCCTCGTTAAATCCGCCGTCTCGGACCTCTCAGCCCCGTCCGCCTCTCCTGACGAGCTGCTACAGAGGCAGCTGCAGCAGCAGCAGGAGGACCAAGGGCTCGACCCGGCTTTAATCCCCGGAGGAGGCATGGCGGGGATTGCGGGTGCTTCGTCAGGGATTGCGGCGGGGCGGCAGGTTTCGGCGCCGGCCGCGATTAGTATTACTGGGAGCAGTGACTTGGCGTATGTTGAGGCGTTTCATCTGTCAGCCATGAATGAGAGGCGGGTTACTCTCAGTGTGAAGGTCAGTTTCTCTCAGGTGCCTCATTAGTTCAGATGGTAGGTAGGTAGGTGTTGGCGCCAGTGGCGACTAGCATCACAAGGAGCAGTGCAGTTACTTGGCGTATGTTGAGGCATTTGATGTGTCGGCGATGACGGAGAGGAGGGTGACTGTGAGCGTGAAGGTGAGTTGTGTTTAGGTGCCTTAAAAGTCCGGACGGTAGGAGGTTTTTGCGCCAGTGGGAATAGAGTGAGGGGGAACAGCAGTGCAGTGACTTGGCGTATGTTGAGGTGTTTCATCTGTCGGCCATGACAGAGAGGAGGGTGACTGTGAGCGTGAAGGTGAGAGAGGGTGCATGCATGCCGGGGTATTGCTGCTGGGGATTCTAGGGGCTGGGGGTTACCTCTAGACGACTTTTGAGACGTCTCAAAAGTCGTCTGCTGGGGATTCTAGGGGCTGGGGGTTACCTCTAGACGACTTTTGAGACGTCTCAAAAGTCGTCTGCTGGGGATTCTAGGGGCTGGGGGTTACCTCTAGACGACTTTTGAGACGTCTCAAAAGTCGTCTGCTGGGGATTCTAGGGGCTGGGGGTTACCTCTAGAATTCAAACAGTTCTGTCCTTCCCCCTTCTCTCGTCCCCTACATACCACTCGTACCAGGTGTTGAACATAGCGGAAGTGGTGCTACCGCGGGGGGACGTGCACATGGGGCTGCTGGGATCTGCTGGGTGCTCCCAAAGGTGTCTTTTAGGGTTCAAAGTTCAGTCAAACACTGTTAACTCGTCTCTCCTACTGCTGCCCCTCCTCCCATACATACCACTCCCATCAGGTGCTAAATATGACAGAGGTGGTGCTGCCGCGGGTGGACGTGCACGTGGGGCTGCTGGGTGCTCTGAGATTCATGGATGGGGTGCCTCGGGCCACTCGCAGGCTCAACCGCTTGCAGCCACAGGTGAGCTTGTTCCCTCTGAATGACTCAGAAATCATCCGTGGTGCTAGGGGGAGGGAGAGGGGGGAGGGGGGAGGAGGGACGTGCATGTGGGGCTGCTGGGTGCTCTCATATTCATGGATGATTTTTGAGTCGACTCAAATATCATATTCATGGATGGGGCGCCTCGCGCCACTCGCCGTCTAACTAAACCGCTTGCAGCCACAGGTGGGCTTGTGCTTTTCTCGTTGTGTTGGGTCGACTGTCACAAGCCAATGGTGGTGCTACAGGGGTGGGGAATGGAAGGGGAAAGGGGGACGTGAGCACGGCACGTGTGGCTGCAAGCTGGGAGGACTGTTAGCCACAGGAGAGTAGTGCAGCAGTAATCTCCCCAGCCCAGTAGCTTGGATGCCACTCTCTCAACTCCCCTGCTGCTCTCCTGCTGCTCTCCTGCTGCTCCATACGCTCCTCACATCTCTGCTCATGCTCTCTTCCCCAGCGCTTTCACTATTCTACTCCCCACCTTTCACAGGAGCCAACACATTTCGACGTGACCCGCTTTCAGCGCAGCGCCTTGCTGCGCCACATGCTCTTCTATCAAGGCCCTCTTCCTGGCTCCCGCCTGGCCCCCGCTCTCCTATCCTTTTCCCGTGTTTTTTTCTTGCTCACAGCTCTCCCAATCATCGCCGTTCCCTCACAAGAGCCTATCGATTCGGACGTCACGTCACAGTCTCTGTGACCCGCTTTCAGCGCAACGCCTTACAGCTCCACATGCTCGTGCAGCTCGACCTATTCTCTCTCCCACCGCTCTCCCACCGCTCTCCCCTCTCCACCACACCCCTTCCCTCACAAGAGCCAATGTACTCAGATGTGAAAGTCTCTGTGACCCGCTTCCAGCGCAACGCCTTGCAGCTCCACATGCTCTTCTATCTCTTCCCATGCCTTCTCACTGCTCTCCCGCGGCTCTGCTCACTACGTCTCCCTCCCCTCACAGGAGCCGATATATTCCGACGTGACAGTCTCTGTGACCCGCTTCCAGCGCAACGCCTTGCAGCTCCACATGCTCTTCTATCACGGCACTCTCCCTGGCCCCCGCTCCACCAACAACCGCCGCTCCTCACATAATAGCCCCGGGGGAGGAGGAGCAGGAGCAGGGATAGCGGATATAACTAGGCTGAGTTTGGAGGATGAGGAGGGGGGAGGGGGAGGAGGAGGTGGGATTGGGGGGTTGGGGAGGAGGAGGAGGACGAGTGGGAGTGAGGGGGAAGGGGGTGCGGCGAGTGGGCCTGTGCGGCCGCCTGTGAGGCTGCGGTGTGTGCCGTACCGTGTGCCGCTTACTGACCTGCTCGTGCCATACAGGTGCGTGTGGGTGGGTGGGCGTGTGCGCCTGTGAGACATGTTTTGAGGTGCCTCAATACCTGCGTGTGTAAGGCTGCGGTGTGTGCCCTACCGTGTGCCGCTTACAGACCGCACAGATGCGTGTGGGTGGGTGGGTGGGTGGGTGGGTGGTTGGGTGCGTGTTCATGTGAGACAGTTTTTGAGTGCTGCCCAGCCTGCCAGCAGTGGGCAAGCACACAGGAACCTACCTCTACAATTCAACACACTCCTCTTGTACCCTCCGTCCCCCCCCCTCCGCCCCCCTTCCCTTCCAGGCTCATGTCCCTTCTTACCCTCTCACACGTCATCCGTCCCCCTCCCATCCAACCCCCACCCGTCCTTCCCCTTTTCTTCCTCCCTCCCCTCCCCCCTCTTCTCCCTCTCCCTCTCCCTCTCCCCCTCCTTCTCCCCTCCCCATCCTCAGGTGCTCGCCAGTGGAGTTCTTCCGAGTGCTACCAAGCCTGCCAGCAGTGGGTGAGCACACAGGCGCCTACCTCTACGACTCAACGCACTCCTCGCTCGTCCTCTCCTCCGACGACGTCGGCATCAGGAGGCTGCTCGCAGGGCTGCGCGCCATTGACTCACGCCCTGTTTTCAAAGTCGCCTCGCATCTCATCCGCAGTCGTGCGGGCTTCCAGGTACATGCGGGTGGTGTGTGTTGAGGCTCTGTACGTGGGTGAAGGCTGCTAGCAGGGCTGCGCGCTATTGACTCTCGCCCCGTCTTCAAAGTCGCCTCGCATCTCATTCGCAGCCGTGCGGGCTTCCAAGTATACATGTGTGTGTGTGGGTGGTGGTGTGTGGGCGGTGTGTGTGTGTGTGTGTGTGTGTGTGTGTGTGTGTGTGTGTGTGTGTGTGTGTGTGTGTGAGGCTCTGTACCTGGGTGAATGCTGCGTGGATTTCATAAACGGCGCGCGTGGGATTCACTCACTACGTGATGACAGGTTTTGGTGTATTACAGAGAAAGTGTGAAGTGAAAGTGGTGGTATGGCAAGGCCTGAGAGGGTTACACTTGGCAGTGTTCTCGTGGGCATCCGCAGGTAGCTCGCAGGGCTGCGTGGCATTGACTCTCGTCCCGTCTTCAGAATCGCCTCACATCTCACCCGCAGCCGCGCGGACTTTTGAGTCGACTAGAAAAAACGCAGCCGCGCAGGCTCCCTGGTGCATGTGTGCTGGTGGTGTGTTGAGGCTCCCAGGTATGTGTGCATGTGTGCTGGTGGTGTGTTGATGCTTCCAGGTATGTGTGCATGTGTGCTGGTGGTGTGTTGATGCTTCCAGGTATGTGTGCATGTGTGCTGGTGGTGTGTTGATGCTTCCAGGTATGTGTGCATGTGTGCTGGTGGTGTGTTGAGGCTCCCAGGTATGTGTGCATGTGTGCTGGTGGTGTGTTGATGCTTCCAGGTATGTGTGTGCGGGTGGCGTGTGGGCGTGGTGTGTGTTGAGGCTCTGTACTTGGGTGAAGGCTGCTAGCAGGGCTGCGCGCCATTGACTCTCGCCCTGTTTTCAAAGTCGCCACGCATCTCATCAGCAATCGTGCGGGCTTCCAGGTATGTGTGCATGTGTGCTGGTGGTGTGTTGAGGCTTCCAGGTAATAGGTATGTGTCCACAGTCTTGCTCACACCATTGACCCTCCCTCCTCCCCTCCACTACCCTTCTCCCCGCTTCCTCTCTCCGAGGTGTTCTATGCGGCCAAGACATGGTTCGGAGACACGCTGGCCATCATAGTGTTCGGCACGAGTGACATTGCGAGCGACGGCGGCTTTGCAGCCGACTCCACCACCATGTTCTGCCGCTTCGTGCTGCGCTCCTCCTCCCCACACGCACCTTCCCAGCCCTGCTCGCTTGCTGCCTTGCCTCGCTCCCTCCCCCGGTGTTCCGCACTATAGGTACCTTAAAGGCCGCTCATTCTCCCTGTCCCCCTCCTCTTTTCCCCCTCTCCGCTCCCCCCCACCTCCCCAGGTGTTCTATGCGGCCAAGACATGGTTCGGAGACACGCTGGCCATAATAGTGTTCGGCACGAGTGACATTGCGAGCGACGGCGGCTTTGCAGCCGACTCCACCACCATGTTCTGCCGCTTCGTGCTGCGCTCCTCATCCCCACACGTCGTCAACGAGATCCTAGCGGCCCCCCAGGAGTGGCTCGATGACCTCACAGGTACGCGTGCGGCCTGGTCTGGTCCCTACATTCGACCCACTGTGTTGGTGAGAGTGCACTAGGTTGGTCGTCTGTGCTGCGCTCCTCCTCCCCCCGCGTCGTCAACGAGATCCTAGCGGCCCCGCAGGTGTGGCTGGATGACCTCACAGGTAAAGCAGTCCTGATTGGTTCGCAGTTATGCTTGGCTTGGTTTGGTCCTCGCACGCTGCTCTCTGAAGGGTCGTGCGCATGATCCTTTCTCCTCCTTTCTCCACACGTTGTCAATGAGATCCTAGCTGGGCCCCAGGAGTGGCTGAATGACCTCACAGGTACCGAGTGCTTGGCTCTTACATGCCATTCCTTTGTTACTCCTGCTCCTCATGATTTCACTCCCAATCCTTTGTGCTTTGTGCTGCTGCGCTTAATTAGTTGGGACGAGAGAGAAGTGGTTTTGGGGATTTCCTCCGCTGTCCAGTGAAGGCTGGATGACCACACAGTCCCACCAAACCATCTCATCCTTGCTCCCACTCTCCTTCCCCCCTCCCCCAATTCCCTCCTTCCCCTCCTTCCCCTCCTCCCGGCCCTCCCGTACACACACACATTCTCACCCCTCGCCATCCCGCCATCCCCAGGCGGGGCCATACGGGCAGTGAGTGAGGAGGAGCTAGCAGCGTTCACAGCCACAAAGAAGAAGCGCCACGACGAGTCTCTCGAGCTCCTCAGCTCCGCCGTGCGCCCCGCCTCCAAGAGCATCCCCCTACCCGGCATGTTTGAACCCGCGCCTGCTGAGGGAGAGGAGGCACCGGAAATCCCGGTGATTCCCGAGGAGGAGCATGCGCTCCAGCTGGCGGTGCTGCAGGAGTGGAATGCGCTGAGGGAGCAGCAGAAGCTGGTGATTTCGTAGTGGTGGAGGGGAGGGTATTAGGGGATTGGGCAGAGCATACGGGGTTTGAAACAGTGGTTTGTTACAGTACATGGCGATCCGGTTTTTTTAGTGGGCCATGACATGGGCGTATGACTGATACCTGGTGTGGAGGATGTGATAGGGACTCGGTTTATCTTGAAGTACCATATACTCTCAGTGCTTGTTCAAGTGGTTTAGAAAAACCATCAATTGAATGCTCTTGGCACTGTCCTCTCTTGTGATTGTGAAGCTTGCTGAAGAAGAGTCTTGAAGGATATTTCGTGTAAAAAGTAAAGGACATAGGTGTACGGTGCTATACTATTTTCGAAGGGTGCTTGCCCAATATTTCGAATATTTGTAGGCCTGTGGGCTCCAGCACGTCACGGGGTGGTTGTGCGCGTTGGTTGCAGTGATCGTACAGTGCGGTTCAGCACGTTTCCAAATGGTGAACCATGGTAGCTGCATGCTACCACGTCAGACCGCAAGAAAACGAACTAAAAACCGTGGTAAAGTGTGTGAATTTAAGTCCACACATGGCTTGGCTTGGACGCCTCTTTATCAGCACACTGTTCAGCATCAGTCGCAGCCTAGACTCCCGTGTCGTGACTTGTGAATCCTGACTCCCTGAGTGACCTGTCCCGTCCTGTAAGTTGCTGGCACTTCCATTCCATCCCACACTGACTGAACTGACGTGTCTGACTCTTACCTACTTGCTTTGCTGCACCGTTTCCGCCTTGCTTTGCTCCCGCGTTTCGCGCAATCACGGGCGTGATCTCCGTTGTAGTTTTAGACTGCGAGGGGGAGGAAGTTAGAGGAAGCTTGCGTTGCGATGCGATAATTGCGGTTGCGTTCCAGGGCCAGGGCTGGGTGAAATGTCCTGAGAAGTCAACGTGACGTGACGTTTCGACCGTTAGCGTTACCGCTACATTTTTATCCGTCATAATTTGTCAGCTACTCGCCTTACCGCTCTGCTGTCTCTAGCTCTGTGAATTATGTAGTAGGAGTATCAGACATACGAAAGGCGAAAAATCGAGGCGACGGCCGACCGTCGCCTGACCAGGCGACGACGACAGAACCAGTTTCGTCAACCCAACTCGTGTAATCCTACGTGTAGTTCTGCTTTGGTTGCTTCAACATCAGCCATTCCGCGGTAGCAGCCATGCCTCTTTCCGAAGACCCCCCTCCGCAGCCTACGCCAACAGCGGCCAATGCGGCGGCTACTAATTCGGATCATCCCCGTGCGTCTCACACTTCGAATCGCGTCGCCGCCGCAAAACCCGGCGCCAATCACTGCGGGGGCTCTTCCGGCAGCTCCATGTCGACCGAGGCGCTCGCCGCCGCGACGGTGCGCGCCGTCGCGAATATTAATATCCAGGACTATTCTCACAGCCCCATCCACACGGCGATCCTGCAGCGCGATTACCACGCTTTAAGGCGCATTCTCGCGTCGGTCCCGCGCCCGCCGATTCCGGGGAGTATCAAGACCGAGGAGCAGTCATTGGCTGCGGAGGTCCAGGCTGACGTGGCGCAGCGCACGCTGGATCGGCGCGACGTGCCGCACAAGGAGTCGCCGCTGTGCCTGGCGGTGCGGCTCGGTGATAGGGCCGCCGTGGAGCTATTGGTCCAGGCTGGCGCTGACGTCAGCCTCCAGGTGCGCCGCTGGTGTTGGTGGGATGATGCTGGGATGACACGTGTGCTGCTTGGGCCGGGGGGAAGTGGGGGAAGGGGGAAAAAGGAGGAAAAGGGGGAAAAGGGGAGGAGGGGGAAGGATGGGGAGGGATGGGACCAAGGGATGGGGGCAAGGAGGGTTCGGTCGGGGTCAGGGGGTTGATGGAATGTTGGGATGTCGGGGGGGGGGAAGGGGGGGGGGGGGGGTAGGGGGGTGGGTGTCTCACAAGCGGTGAGCAAGCGCTTCTGCTCTATCTGTCTGTCATGCAATGCAAGCACCATTGACTAGCAATGATACGGATTGGTTAGAACGGGAGATGGTTATTTAAGGTTATAGCCATCCTGCGCCGCAGCGGCGGGCAGGTGTGGGTGCGACACATCCGCCGCCTGCCCGCCCACCTCTCCCAACCAGCAGCGTCTATTTCACCTCACTCAGAACTGACTTTTGAGTCGACTCAAAAACCAGCAGCGCCTATTTCACCTCACTCAGAACTGACTTTTGAGTCGACGCAAAAACCAGCAGCGCCTATTTCACCTCACTCAGAATTACCCTCTGTTCCACCCCTTCCCCTTCCCCCTTTCCCCTTCCCCTTTTTTCCCTTCCCCGTCCCCCTTTCTCCTTCCCCTTCCCCCTTCCCCCTCTCCTTCCCATTTCCCCGCCCGCCCACTCCCCTTCCCCTCCCCTCCCCTCCTCCCAGAACGGAGGCGGCTGGACGGCCATCCAGGAGGCGGTGTGCACGCGGGACGAGGTCATAGCCACGGCCATCCTGCGCCACAGTGGGGTGCAGGTGTGGGCGCGCTACATGCGCCGCCTGCCCGCCCTCGCAGCCATCCTCACGCGCATGCGCGACTTTTACATGGAGGTCACGTGGTCCTTCGAGTCCTCCGTCATCCCCTTCGTCTCGAGGATCGCTCCCAGCGACACCTACCGGATTTGGAAGCGCGGGCCAAGGCTCAGAGCCGACATGACTCTTGCAGGCTTTGATGGATTCAGGTATGTGTGCTCAGCTGCTTGATTGATTCTAGCTCATCAAGGCTAGTTCCGAGCCTGTGTTGGCTCTGGTTCCAAAGCTAGCTCTCAGGTAAGTTCCGAGGCTGTTCCAAAGCTGGTACTGAGGCTGCTATTGAGGCTGGTTCTGCGACTGCAAGCATGCGTGCGTGACTTCTACATGGAGGTCGCGTGGTCCTTTGAGTCCTCCGTCATTCCCTTCGTCTCGAGAATCGCTCCCAGCGACACCTACCGCATCTGGAAGCGTGGACCCCGGCTCAGGGCTGACATGACCCTGGCCTGGCGGGGTTCGACGGGTTCAGGTTTGTGTGTCTGTTGAGCTGGTAAAATCTAGCTGCTGCTCCTTCTCCTCCCCACCTCCCCCGCCGCCGCCTCGTCTCACTCCCCCGCTGGGTGAAGCGCTAGCCACAGAGCCTGATCTTCATGGCAGCCCTGCCTTCTTTTGAGGCGCCTCAACACTGATCCCTGCTCTTTCCCACCCTTCCCTCCCTTCCCCGCTCTCTTCCCTCCCCTCCCCACTCCCCCCACCCCACCTCTTCTCCCACCCCCAGGGTGAAGCGCAAGGCGCAAGCCACATGATCTGATCTTCAGGGGCGCTCCCATCCTGTCTTTGCGGCGATCCAAAACCAGATCCTTTCTCCCCCCCCCCCCTCACCCTCTCCCCCCCTTCCCACCTCCTCTTCCCTTCGTTCCCCCCCCCAGGGTGAAGCGCAAGCCACAGAGCCTGATCTTCATGGGCGCTCCCAGCCTAGCCTAGCCTGTGTCTCAGGCACCTAAGAATCGGATCCTTGCTCCCCTCCCCGCCCCGCATCGCTCCCTCCATCAGGGTGAAGCGCAAGCCACAGAGCCTGATCTTCATGGGCGCTCCCAGCCCAGATGGGAAGCTGAAAGCCGGCACCCTGCTGGTGCTGAAGCACGAGCGCAAGGAGGCGTTTGACGCTCTTGAAGCCGCGGGTTCGATTCCCACCGACGCCGAATTAAAAGCAGAGGTGCAGTCGCTGTTCATGACGAACGTGTACAAGGCGGGGATCGATGTTTCGCAAGCGGAGCTCTCTCAGGTGTTGTCCTGGCGGGGGTTGCCTAAGGTGGAGACAGTTGCGGGGCACAGGGCAATGCTTTATGAGATGCAGCACGTGCATTTCATGTTTCGATCGAGACAGGTGCCTGGCGCGATGACAGATGAGGAGTTTTTAGGGGAAGGGGCTGGGAAGGTCAAGGGGAGGGGCGGAGCGGGGAAAGGGGGGAGTGGGAAGGAAGGGGAGGATGGAGGAGGGAAGGGTGGTGGGAAAGGGGGTGGGAAAGGAGGGAAAGGGAAAGAGGAGGTGAAAGCGGGAGGGGAGAAGGGGAGTGGTGGGAAGGAGAAGGAGGGGAAGGAGGGGAAGGGTGGGGATGCTGGGAAGGGAGCGGCGGAGGAGGAGGGCGAGGGAGGGGAGGGGGGAGAGGGGATAGTGGAGGAGGAAGAGGAGGATTATAACGGTATACTGACAGAGGAGGAAAGGGCTCAGCTGAAAGCTGCTTTGGCTCAGGTGGAAGGGATGGGGGAGGAGGAGGACGAGGAGGGGGAGGAGGGGAGGCAGGAGGAGCGGGAGAAGCAGATTGAGGGAGGGAAGGGCTCAAAGGCAGGTGGGAAGGGGAAGGAGAGGGGAGGGGAAAGTGAGGCAAGTGCAGGGAGGGAGGTGGAGGAGGATGGGGGGGGAAGGAGAGGGTGGTTGGGGGGAAAAAAGGATAAGGACAAGAAGAAAAAGGAGAAGCAGAAGGATGAGGAAAAGGATGGGAGTGCAGAGGGGTCTAAAAGGGGAGGCTGGTTTTCCAGGCGGAAAAACAATGAAGGCGGAGGGGGGGGAGGGAGAGGAGGAGGGGGAGGGGGGGGGAGGGGGGATGGGAGGCGAGGAGAGGGAGGTGGAGAGTGACAGTGAGTTGCAAGAAGAGTCCAAAGAGAGCAAGCGGCAGCTGGAAAGAAAACTCTCACGAAGCTTCTCAGACCGCGAGAGAGACAGCAGGGACGAGGAGGGGGGTGCGGGGAAAGGCAGCAAACGAGAGAAGGGCGAGGGGAGAAGCACGGGGAGAAGCGGCCAGGGCGGGGGAGGGGGGGAGGGAGGGGTAGAGGGGGAGGAATACGCGGAGAAGGAAGGGGAGAGTGAGTATCGGCGGGGGCTGAAGCCTGTGCTGTGGATGACGAGGGATTTTCCTCTGGATATGAAGGAGCTACTGCCGCTGCTAGATCTTCTCTCAAACCGAGTGAAGGCGGTGCAGCGGTTGAAAGAGCTACTTACGATGAAGCTGCCCCCAGGGATGGTCCCTGTGAAGGTAGGTGATGGTTGGTGATGGAAGGTGCTGCTGGGTGCTTGTCGGTGCTGGTCGGTACCTGTGCTGTGGATGACGAGGGATTTCCCTCTGGATATGAAGGAGTTGCTGCCGCTGCTGGACCTGCTATCGAACCGAGTGAAGGCGGTGCAGCGGTTGAAGGAATTTCTCACCATGAAATTGCCACCGGGGATGGTGCCCGTGAGGTGGGTGCTGCTGGGTGCTGCTGGTGGGAATGGGCCATGGTGAATGGACGCTATGGGTTTTGGGATGTATAGGCGCGGTGCATGGCCCGCTTTCGCCCTCCCCACCCGATAAAAGAGATGTTTTGAGACGTCTCAAAACATGTATAGGCGCGGTGCATGGCCTGCTTTCGCCCTCCCCACTTCCCCCCCTCCCCCTTTCCCTCCCGCTTCCCTTTCACCTCGGCCTTATTCCCCTTTCCTTCCACCCCCCACTCTGACTACCAGCCATTTCTTTTGTCGATTAGAATCCCGACCCAAAATGCTTTCTTCCGCTCGTGCTGCCTACTGTCCACGTGTGTGTAGCCCCAGCCCCCCTCCCCCATCCCCATCTCAATATCCAACCCATCTCCCGGTCTTCTCCTCCTACATGTCGACAGACATGTGACCAGTCCAGTGGCGCCTCACGTTTCTCTCACGTTTCTGTGTGTCTCTCACGTTTTCCAAAATCCATTTCTTAAGGCAGCTTGATGCAACTCTCCTACCACCTTTTGCACTCTGCAACTTCCCCATTTCCCCTCCCGTTCCCCCACCCCCATCCCATTCCCCCTTCCCCCTCCCCTTCCCCTCGTCCTCCCCACGAACTCACACACACACACACACACACACACACACACACACACACACACACACATACACCTCCTCCCTGTCTACAGGTGGCCATACCAGTGGTTTCCACTGTCCATGTGTCTGTCACCTTCTATCCAAAGTGGAAATATTTGGAGCTGCGACCGCACCTCTTTCAGAAGCCTGCTGTTGAGGTGTCTCAAACACACACCCCTCCTCCGGGTCTCCCCTTCCTCCCTGTCTACAGGTGGCCATACCAGTTGTTCCCACTGTCCGCGTGTCTGTCACCTTTTCCAAATTCGAGGAGTTCAGAGCCGCTCCCGCCCCTCTGCCAGAAGCCTTTGCTCTTGCTCAGGAGGATGCAGAGTGGGATGGGGAGGGCGAGGAGGATGAGGAGGAAGGGGAGGGGAAAGGGCGGAATGGGAGAGGCGGGAAGGAGGGGGATGGGGAGGAGGGTGGGGAGGAGGGAGACGAGTTTCACACTCCTACTGCTAGTCCGGAGAGGGATGTGGGGGGTGGATCAGGAGGAGGAGCAGGAGGAGGGGGAGGAGAGGGTGGGAGAAAAGGAGGGAAGAGGTCGTGGTTTGGATGGGCTAGGAGGAAGGGTGGGGGAGAGGGGGGGAGCAGTGGCGGGGAGGGCACTGGGGAAAAAGGGGCTTCATCATCAGCAGGAGCAGGAGGAGGAGGAGGAGGAGGAGGGGGGGCAGGAGAGAAAGAGGATAATTGGGCTGTTGATCCTTTTGTCATTCCAGAGGAGTACAAGTGGGTTGACCTGAAGGAGAGGAAGCGGAGGGAGAGAGAGAAGAGGCGCCGAGCTAGGGCTGCTGCTAGGGCGAAGAAAGAGGGAGGGAAGGCAGGTGCTGCTGGTAGCAGCAGCTCCAGTGCTGGCGCTGGTGGTGGTGGTGGTGCTGCTGCCGGTGCTACTGCTGGTGGTGGTTGTGCTAGTGCTGCTGCTGCTGCTGCTGACGCTGCTGGTGCTGCTGGTGCTAGTGCTGGTGGCGGTGGTGGTGGTTAGCAGTGGTAGTGGTAGTGGTACCAGTGCTTGTTTTGATGGTAGAGGTGTTGCTGATACTCCTGTGGATTGGCGGCGGCAGCAGCAATTCAACAAGTCAGGTTACGGGTAGGCCCTGGTGGTAGGTAAGTTTGTGCTGCTGCTGACCCCTAACCAGAGTGATGGCAGCACAGATATTTTGCACATGTGATCTTTTGTAGGTGTCTAGGTGTGGGGTGTGGTGGAGTTGGGTTGCAGCAGCGCTGCAGCGGACTGGTGGTGTGTTGGTAGTGACTTCGGAAGCAAGACTCATCTTCTCGATCATCAAAGAGTGCCCATCGAGACTTACGAAGATTGTGTGATTGCGTGTTCCCAATTTAGACTGGTTGTGGGGAAGGATGTCAATGGTGTATTCCCTAAGTTACCTTCAGAATATGTCTTGCTACCGTAAGTTGTGCTTGTCAACTGCTGCTATGGAGAGGGAATGTAAACCCACTTTCCCATATAAGCACATTCTGCCTACGAATGTGAGCGTGGACACCTGGTTGGGGTGTGGGACGACATGGGCTTGTGGGTTGGGAAAAAATCACATTGGGGCTGAACAACAGCAGGGAGGTAACCAAATTAGGGCCGGGCTAATCCCAACCGTTGAATATACCTCTGGGGCTGCCCAGGTGGCTGGGCCTAGAATCAGAACCTATATTTGAAGGAAATCACTAAAAGCTAGAGGTTGGAGAGGGGATGCTCCAGTCGAAGCATTTCATTTTCATTTCATTTCACTCATCAACCTCAACCAGCCTGGCAGCAGACAAAAAAACAACCAAGCACTGACCAAGAAACAAGCCAGCAACCCCTGGTCGGGTGCGGTGCGGTGCGGGGGCGGGGTTGCTCATTTGTTGTCGTGACAGCCGTAACTGTCAATTCGCGAGTCAATGAGTTGACAGACCTGATGACGAGCAACTCCGCTCACATCCAATCGATCCCACGTCAACCCATCCCAACCAGTCCCAACCTACCATCCTATCACATATCACTTCGTCCCCTCCTGTCTGAGATGCTCGTGGCGGCGATTCGCCTATCAGCGCCGCCGCCGCCACTGCTCGAAACCATCCCATCCCACCGTGGTCATCCAGCCAAAGCGCGATGGTACTGAGCTGAGAGGCCCAATGATGAGTAGGAATTGATAACGAGGCCAACAGGGTAGACGCCTTCTAATCAGACCACAAAAATCCTACTGCTTCCGCCATAGAGAAGCAAGACGACTGGATGATCATACATACTTGAATCAGGTTAAGCGACCTCACACATAATGGAGATAACGCGTTGTGTCTACGACATTGCCTACAAGGTCTAAGCACATTAGCGTCGAGAGAAAATCAGCCAATGTCCAAAACTGACACAATTCAGTCAAACTTTGAGTTTCCTGAGTTGGGGTAAGGAATCATCACAGAATTATATCTTGACGTACAGTCATTATTGACGACCAACGCAACACAGAAAGGCTCCCACCCTGGGGCCGTGAAAAAAAGGAACTTAGGACTGAACACCACAGCGATCAAGCACTCCAAACGTCCATCCATGTATTAAATCTTACTAAATACCCCAGGAATCACACCACGAGCACGCCGTTGGCCTCGTTGATGGGTGGTAGCGTGTGGCCGTCGAACGCGGTGTAGAGGCAGTCGGCGGACATGACGCTGGACGTTCGGTAGTCCTTCACCTCGCCGTCCAGGTACCCTCGGCCCTCCACGCCGTCCGCCGCGAACGACCGCCGCAGCAGTACCGACAGCGACGTGTACTCCAACGCGCGTTTCCGCCGGCCCTCGCGGTACGTCTGCCCCATGATGCCGTGCATGGCGGGGGTGCGCTCCACGCTCGCGAAGTGCAGGTTGATGTGCGTCTGCGCGTCCGCCTTCGTCTGCAGCAGCGCATCGCGAAAAAGGGTTTGGCCAATTTTCGAGTTAAAGTCTGAAAGCTGCAGGAAAGTTGCTGACTTGTATCCTGAATGTATCCAAAAAGCATAGACTGAAAAAAGCAACTCACACAAACTTAGGATACACGGGGTAACCGAGCCGCGAATTTTGGATACGTGGGTAACCCGAGGCGTGATTTTCGGATTCGTGGGTTTCTCAGACCGCATATTTCTAGCATCAAATTCGACACCTCGGCACCGAACAGCACACCTGGTCATGACCAAAATGTGGGAGTCTCCCTTGCTGTGAAACTGCAGGTGTCCGATAGATGAACACTTGGCACAAATTAGGTTAGCATTCTCGAAAGTTGCGAACACGGTAACGTGGATACAGACCGCACGACCGTCGCCAAGGTTCAACCAGGAATCGGAGCTGGCAACAGGCACAAGGGTTCACAGTCACACCCAATCAGTGCTAAGTGTTCAGATTTCGGGTACTGACGTGGCTTCCACGGACCAAGGTTCAGCTAACCCGTAACAAAGTGGTCGAACCTAATGATTTTTTACTAACCAATCACTGGGGTGCTCTTGCCTGCAGCAAAAATCAACGGCATATTTTGACGACACTTCAGCACACCTCCAAGCTCTAGAAGCATCTATCTTTCTTACCCTCACTCTGCGCATGACTCTCTCCCGACCAAACACCCGTCACCTGCCTCATTTTCACACAACTGACTAAGGTTCTTCACATCTCCTGCCTCTGAGTGTCCTCTTAGCACAATTAGCGTCTACCTAAAGACCACATCACTTCTACGTGTTATTGCATTTTATTACCACAGCTTGTAACTCAGACCCATGTTATCAATTTGGCCCTTGCGAATCCTCCCCTATCCTTTTACAGATTACACAGCAACGTTTTCTACAGGCGGAGAACGTGGCACCAGCGACTAGTAACGGAATCGCCGGGTTCCGCGCGAAAAGCGCCGAAAGGTGTGCTACACATGCTTTTTGTAACTCGTAACCAAGCTATCATTTTCCCGTGCGTGTGCCTTAGGTTGTAACTCGTTCATCTATTCTCACGGGTTATGCTTCGGGAGCAATCGATCTGTTCGTATCTTGCCGATATGTGTGCAGATCTGTCGCGATGGCTTGTAAGTTCCTTTTTTCCCCGCCCCTGCAGGGTTCATGGAAGTCAATAGATGTTTCCAGGCGTTTGAACAATACCCAGAAGCTCTCAAGCATATATAAGGCAATGTTATGAGTGACGGTGAAGGCCCGCTGGTGGTAAGTCACTGAGGTGGGGAACAAGCACATGACTAACCAAAGTCTTAACGTTATGTCATTGTTTTGTTTGCAGGCGTTAAAACGACACATTTTTTCGCCATGTGTGCCCTTCATATAAGATGTTTAGCTACGTTTAAATACTTGGGTCTAGCTGTGTTCGTTGTTCTGCTGTGTTATCGCAAAGTGTATACTTCAGAAGTATGTACGCAAATGTCACAAATATTGTGTTGCAGACGAATGTATACATAGAAATTAGCAATAACAATCAGCCAGTGAAACGAAATCTCCGCTTGTGCAGTTCAGGCAAAACGGCGGCTTGTAGAAATCAAGCTTCGCACACTTAAAGGTCATGTCTGATTGGTCCACATGGCAAGTTGCCGTACACATATCGAGAATGACACCTGGCACAAATATCTTTGCTTACGTGGCAAAAAATCTTCACGTACGTACCAGCGTACGTACACTTCGAAGTCGAAACTGTGCGCAGGCCACGCGGCAGGTGGTGAAACTGCATACATGTGACTGAAATGTATACGCAACGTGTCCAAAGATTGTCCGATAAGTTGCGGTTGTGTTGCGGGAAAGTTGCAGGAATGCAACTTTTTCGCAACTTTTCCGCAACCACGATCTCAGCAACATTTGACCATAACTGGAAAGTTGCAAAACCAAGGTATCCAAAAAGTATCATTTTTGCAACATTCCCGCAGCTTTATGGCGAGCCCTTTTTCGCGATGCGGATGCGCGGGCCGCAGCTTCACGTCCAGCTTGATCAACCTGTCCACCTCCAGCGAGTACGCGTCCACGTCGAAGAACCCGCCACCCTGCTTCTCGTACCCCGTGAACGCCAGCGTCAGCCCGCCGGGCAGCGTATATTTGCTGCCCACGGACAGCAGTGGCAGCGCCTTGCCGTCAAACTCCATCTCCCCCAAGTACCCCGCGCCGCGCGCCATCTCGTTGCCGTCGCGCGCCGCCATGCGGAAAAGTCGAACGCATAATTTTGGCTCCCGTAGGTTTTTCTACGAAAAAGCGTACAGAACGTCCTTGAACACATACAAAACATCCCAGAGAAAACGTGACGGTAATGTCACATTTTCGTAGGACACATCCGTGACAGAAAAGTCACGCAACATAAACATTTCAGTCACGCAAAGCTGTTAGCCGCAAAAAAGTTCGAGTAGGCTGGTTGGATCCGAAATAAAGAGTGGTTCAGAGCGATTGTATGCTATTCATCATTAAGTTGCTGACAGAGTTCACCAAACCAAGTCTGTGAGTATTTCTCACGAAACTGACGAACCCACATGACAGCTAGCGAGGAGAGGGAAAACGAGGCAACAAATGTCGTTGACATCGTGAAAACATGAATCAAAATTTCCCGTACAAGTACAGCGTCAAATGTACACGTAAGCATGGGAAGTGAAGAAAGCCAACCAATCACAGCTACGCCAAGCCCAGTAGATCACCCCAACCTAAAATACAGAACGTGCCACATCACACCTGTGGTAACCACCCATATCTCCTAATCGACTCAGCCGAGCCTAGCGAATTGTTCGAACCAATCGTTGCAGGAACAAAAACAGAATCAACACTCACAGCCTCCCTTATCCACACATCAGCATACCGAACCTCAAATTACCCTCAACCCCTCATCCCCCTCCCCCCCCTCCACCCGCTCCCCACCCCGTCGTACAAATGCTCTGCCTCCCACGTTCTCAGCAGTTAGTTTAGATCGCCTAGTTCTTTGTCCTCCCTCCTAACCACGCTCTCCTGAAGATCTAGGCACCCTCCTCGCTCTTTGTACCTCTTTTCAAGCGCTCCGCTTTTAAGTATT